CTTGTTTACTCAACATAAAATCAGAACAGTTTCAAGGAACCTGATTCAATTGTACAAAGTGAAGTTGACTTATCCATAGAAATGAAAGACTGTCTTCCTATGAACATAAAAAGACCACGAACAGAGCATGAGGGCACAAAATAGCCTCAGATTTGAGGTTAATAATTAAAGCAATATAATACTATATTTCCAACTTCTATAACATATTTGACTTTAAAACTTCTGTCAGGTAATGAATTATCTTTATACTAATAGTACACAGAAAATATACCATCCTCTGCATATTATAACAGAAAAATGCAGCTAAAGGAGCTGTTGCTATTATAATGACAAGTCAAAATAAGGAATAATTAAGGACTCAAATTAAAAAATAAAATAGTTCCCAGTCAAGTTACACAAAATGATGCATTTATGCCTGTGCCTACAAAAAAGCTAAACCAGCATCCCTAATCTAACAACTAAGCTAATTTAATAGAAAACTATTTTGGACAGAAGATAAAAACTTAATTGAACTTTTTCTTCCTTCCATGATACATAATTTTTCTCTCCCACAAACTTTCAATTTCAATTAGAAAATCCATTCTAATTTTCTAACCATACATACTTTAAACATTAGCATATTATTTTTACTGTTAACCTATGGAGATGAGTATAGAAACTTACATGTTACGTATGTATAGAAAACATCTGGATTTTTTTGCAATTTTATCCTTTAACTGTTACATATGACCTGTTTTCCATTATCTTATTTTGAAATCTGTTTGTTTTCACAATATGTAAAATTACATAAAAACATGTAATAAATAATTAACATTACATATGTACACTACATATGTAATTACATATTTTCATCCTGCATTCAGAAACCAGGAATAGTCTAGTTATGATCATAATTTTTGAAAATGAAGCCTCTAACTGCCAATTGTCTATTCATAGACTGCATTTGCTTTCATGTATTAATGTAAGATAAAGCATTAGAAAGATATATATGTGGGGGGTGTGTGTGTGTGTGTGTGTGTGTGTGTGTGTGTGTGTGTGTGTGTGTGTACACGTGCATGCATGCCCTGGTACTGACTGCAGAAGTTAATGAAGAAAGCCCTCTCTCTACATCTCACCAAGTAGTATCCCAGAACCAATCACTGATAATCTCCATGAAAAAATCCTATCTTATTTTGAGTTGTCTTTTCCAAAATTTATTAAAATGTCCCAGTTTTGTTCCCCACTCCCCACCTGCAAAAAAATAATACAAAGTTGAGGACAGGATGAATCAACAGTAGGCATAAGTTAACAGGTACTGAAGCTAGGTGAATGGTGCATGATAACTGCTGAAATGTTCTGTCTATCTTTGTGTGTTCCTTTAATCTCCAGAATAAGCTTTAAAGTGTATTGAAACAAACAAGTTCTTGATTTCCTACAAGAATGCGGCATAAAATAAGTTTAACCCCAATACATGAGCCTTAAGAGCTAAGCTACAGAATCACAAAGGGAACAATAAGTAGACAATCCAAAAACTTCCAACAAAGCTTTCCTTGCCATTCACTATGAATCGCTATAAATGCATAAGGAGAAAAGAAGAGAAAAATAATACTAGTACTCAAACTTTAAATTACACTCTGGCATATGATATAATTTTATGGTAAACCATTAATAAATCACTAACCTACAAAACCAAGATTTGCTTCAAAGCATCCCAAGAAATCTCTGTAGGGGAAGTATATCCTAATGAATATGACAGCAGATAGTCTGTCCCTAACCCAGAAAATAAAAAATTATGTTAGCTAAGGAAGAGTTGTAATAATGACATCAATAGTAGTAAGAGTTATTAAAGTATATTAGTAAAGTCCATCTCTTCTAATAAATACATATATCCTTTTCATTATTCATATAATTTTCAAAATAACACTGAGGTTATCATTAATATAATCAGAGTAAAATTGAGATAAATGAAGCTACCCAATATTCTGTACCAAGTAAGTGACAGAGCATATTCAGGCCCTTTCACTCCAGACGCACTGTTCTTAATTCCTAAAACATACTTCCTTAACCACTTTACAGCTGAGAACTGAAAGTTGAGGAAGTCAACCTCTGTACACTGGTCTAACTATTCAGTAATCTCATTAGTTGTGCTTCTCCTTTTCTAAATGTTCTCAAAGTTCTTTTCAACTCATAGATGCATAACTGGAAATTACGTCTCTCATTCACCTTAACCTACCTTATTACTTTTCTATTGGAAAGGTAAACAGAAACTAAATTTAAGGAAAAATTCCAAACAACTGAATCTGCTATTCTTAAAAAGAGAAGTCTACAAGTAATAACCCCAAATAACTAGTTAAACTGAGCTTTAGGTAGACAGTAGACAGTACATGTACTAGGCAATAATTACCTTTGAAGGAATTAGTGAAATAAAAAGTCTATCAAATACTTATTAATCACAAGTCAAGCAGTTTTGGTATGGCTATTGTTATCAAAAATTCTTAGTCATATGTAGTAGATGCAAGCAGTAAAACTATGAACACTGAAAAGAAATGCATCTTTTCATTGTTTTACACCTTTTGTTAACACTTGTAAGTAAATATAATCCATGAATAGGCAATTGGCAATAAAAAGCTTCACTTTCAAATTTCTGTGCACAGCTATGTTATTCCTGGCTTTCTGAATGCACTATCTACTTGAAAACAATGCAAATCATTAATTGCAATTCTTATATAATTTTACATATTGTAAAAGCAAACAGAGACACCAAGATGCTGGAAAATGGATCATGTGAAATACTTTTTTAAAAAAAATTGC